GTGTGCAATGGTGATGTGGGGACATTTTAAAATATGGATTTGTAAGGCTCAGTTTCTGTAGGTCCAGGGGTGAGCTCTGGCATTCATATTTTTGAAAAGCCCCCAGATGGTTCTGATGTGTGCCAGGGTTGGTCACCAGGGTCATAATGCCATCTACACAAAGATGAGTGAAGGCTCCTCCCTCACATTACCTGCATTCTAGGAGTATCCTAGTAGACAGGTAAACAAATGGGAATGCCACTTTGGGATAAATGAAATGACAGGCAGCTGTGGAGGCACAGGGAAACTAGGGATTAGCCCTCTGAGTAATTCAGGAACAGGGACATTTGAGAATGAGCCACCAAAGACATAGGAATTCACCAGGAAGAAGGAGATGCTATGGCAGAGGCTTGTCACTTAAAATGACATGGTGTGTACTTAATTCCAGGGCTTGTCATATGGCTGAAGCACCCCAGCCCTAGGTCAGCAAGGCACTTAGGAGCTGGACTGTCTTGCTTTTATTATTGGTGCTTAGAACAAACAGACAAATGCAGGTTTGATAGCTAACGAAAGAATGAAATTGAAGTGTAGGCAAGGGTGGGAGAGGAGAAAATAATGACAAGGAACATGGTAGGAAAGGCAGTCAGGGTTTCTATGCCATCCTAAGACATTGGAGTTTTGTAGAGTAGGCCAGAGTTTCACAAAGTAAGCATCAGAACCACTTGGAGGAGAGTGTGTTAAAACAGATTTATGGCCAGGTGCAGTGACTCACTCCTGTAATTCCAGTACTTTTGGAGGCCAAGGCAGGAGGATCGCCTGAGGTCAGGAGTTGAAGACCAGCCTGGCCAACCTGGCGAAACCCCGCCTCTACCTGGGTGACAGAGACAGACTCCGTCTCAAAAAAAAAAAAAAAAGAAAAGAAATAGAGTTTCTGATTCAGGTCTGGGCTGGGGCCCAAGGATTTGCAGTTCTAACAAATTGCCAGGTAATACCAATGATGCCAGTCTCAGGATCACCCTTTGGGAACCACTGTTGTAGGCAATGTGGAAGGCACAGAAAGTTTTTCAATAAGGCAGTTACACTAATAATATCTGTTTTACAAAGTTAGCTCTAACAATGTGAAACAGAGATTGAAAGATGAAGAGACTGAAATTGGGAAGATACATTCAGAACCTAGTTATGGCTAGGTAAGAAATACAGATCTGAGCTAAGGCAATCCAGAAAGCAGGGAGCAAAATTAAGACATTTCACATGGGCCAGGGTCAGTTGCTCATGCCTGTAATCCCAGCACTTCTGGAGACTGAGGCAGGAGGATCACCTGAGGCCAGGAGTTTAAGGTCAGCCTGGGCAGCATGGTAAGACCTCATCTCTACAAAACAAATAAATAAAACATGAAAGACATGTCACATGAGAGATTAGCATAGATAAAAACTAGAAGAAAGAGAGAATTGGGTACTGGAAGGCAGCAGAGAGAAGGGGAGATGGCTTTTATAGTACTTTGAGACCAGCTCTGCCACATACTGGTCACACAACCAAGGCCAAGTCCCTTAATTCCTCAGAGGTCCAGTTTCCTCCTCTGCCCCATGTGGATATTGTGAGGAATAGAGATCATACACATCAGTGGTTCTCAAATGGAGTTGATTTTTCCTCTAGCAGACATCTGGCAATGCCTGGAGATATTTTTGATTGTATAGCCTCAAAGTGGGTAGGTGCTGCTAGCATCTAGTGTGTCAAGGCCAGGGATGCTGCTAAACATCCTACAATGCACAGAATAGGCCCACGCGACAAAGAGTTATCCTGCCCCAAGTGTCAGTACTGTTGAAATTGAAAAATCCTGATCTTCATGATATGCCTAACTTAGAGCCCCAGTAATTTAATGGTTGCTGTCTTTATGGTGACTTTTAACTTTGTGACTGGATAGGAGAACCTACAACCTCCGCTTCCCAGGTTCAAGCAATTCTCCTGCCTCAGCCTCCCTAGTAGCTGGGATTATAGGCATGTGCCACCAGGCCCAGCTAATTTTGTATTTTTAGTAGAGACAGGGGTTTCTCCATGTTGGTCAGGCTGGTCTCGAACTCCCAACCTCAGGTGATCCACCCGCCTCGGCCTCCCAAAATGCTGGGATTACAGGCATGAGCCACTGCGCCCAGCCTGAGGGAAGTTCTAAGAGTCTGTTTAGGTGCTGTTGGGTGTGAGGTACCTGCGGGGTGAGAAACGCAGACCTAGAGATCAACAAAAAGAGGAACAGCATGGTCTTTCTGGAGGCCACCTTCCACATTGTACTTTACTAGGAAAATACCCCTGGAACTCTTGTTTCAAAGGAGAAAATTATTTTGGTAGTTGGATGAAATTTAAAGTTTGAGGAAGGGAAAACCCACATTGGGGGAAAACCAATTCTCCAAAAGGAGCTAATAATAGGCAGGTTGGCCTCAAGAATACACTTAGTTGACCATATTTGTTTCAGAACATAACCACATCTCACACCAAAGTTCTAAACCTGAGATTTCTCACTCCATTCACTTCTTGTTTTGCCGCATTCTCAAAGTGTTTTAAAAAATGTGAATGTGATTTATTATGGCAACAGACATCTACAGGCTCCTTTTGGACGCCCAAGAATGGGCTCTCTACTTGTGTATCATCCATTCTTTCCCCGTAGGTGTGTGCATTTGGGTACAAATATGGGCTGGCCTCTTACTGGAGTTGTTCCACAGCGGTGGCTGGTGAAGAGAAGCAGAGGTGAGTGGGGAGGGTCCTGGGCCCCCATCCCCATTTAGCCAAGTACTTTAGCCCTTTATCTCTTCTACTCACTCAGCTACTGCCTAATTTTATTTGAAGCAAGAATTCAATGACTTTTAAATGTTTGAAAAACCACCCGTACTAGACAATTACCTAGGAATATGTTTTAAGAGATATAAGAAAGTCCTCAAATCTAGGATTGTTAGATTACCTGAAATTTGGCCAATTAGAGATTCATTAAGAAGTTTTTCTTTTCAAATGAAACTGCCTCTGGGGAATAATCATGTATTCGTTCCTTTGATAAATGAGTTTATTTGTTTGTTTGATTTTTTTGAGAGGGAGTCTCACTTTATTGCCCAGGCTGGAGTGCAGTGTGGTGCGATCTCAGCTCACTGCAAGCTCCGCCTCCAGGGTTCACGCCATTCTCCTGCCTCAGCCTCCCAAGTAGCTGGGACTACAGGCGCCCGCCACCTCGCCCAGCTAATTTTTTTGTATTTTTAGTAGAGATGGGGTTTTACCATGTTAGCCAGGATGGTCTCGATTTCCTGAGCTCGTGATCCGCCCGCCTCGGCCTCCCAAAGTGTTAGGATCACAGGCGTGAGCCATCACGCCCGGCCGGTAAATGAGTTTAATCCAAGCAAAAGACATTTTGGTTGGGGAAGAGGAGAACTGAGTGAAAAGAAAAAGGATTCAAAAAATTGTGTAAAGAAAAATGTAAAATGAGGCATTGTTGGGGAATGGAAATTCAGAAATACAATGAGCAATTTTAGCCAGCCCTATGAGCTTTAAGAGAGAAGATTAAATCAAAAAGAAACTTTAGGCTGGGCGTGGTGGCTCACTCCTGTAATCCTAGCACTTTATTTCTATTCTGAAAGGGATTTCAAGATAAAACACACTCACCAGGTGTGGTGGCTCATGCCTGTAATCCCAGCACTTTGGGAGGCCAAGGCAGGAGGATCACCTGAGGCTGGGAGTTCGAGGCTAGCTTGACCAACGTGGAGAAACCCTGTCTCTACTAAAAATACAAATTAGCAGGGTGTGGTGGTGCATGCCTGTAATCCCAGCTACTTGGAAGGCTGAGGCAGGAGAATGACGTGAACCTGGGAGGTGGAGCTTGCAGTAAGCCAAGATCATGCCACTGCACGCTAGCCCGGGCGACAGAGCGAGACTCCATCTTAAAAAAGAGACTCCGTCTCAAAAAAAAAAAAAAAACACACAAAAGATTTGGCTCTGTAATGCTTTAGCAATTTAAAACCAAAAGCCACTGAAACTGAAGTTAAGAATCCTTGAGGACAAATTTAAGTATTATTAGAAAAAATATATAAAGCTCTTACATTGACAACTCAAAAATTATAACATCAATTTATATTGCATCAAGGTGCAATTTATGGCCCTCACAAGCTTCTAAAAGGTAGATAGGACAGGGGGGGTTATTATGATTAATATTTCCATCATACAAATAAAGCAACCAAAGTTCAGAGAGTTTCAATGATTGCCTGAGGTCACAAAACTCTTTAAATGGCTTTGCCAGGTCTCAAGTTCAGGTCTTCTGCCTTTGTGGCCATTACTCTTTCCATTGTACCACATGTTTTCTTACATACCTGGTGATATTTACAAAGGACTATGAAGCTCACAAAAGTGATGGCTTGGAGTTAAAACATCAGAACAATTAGGAGTTCCCTAAGAAGGGGCATCTTTG